AAAATACAAAAATTAGCTGGGTGTGGTGGCATGCGCCTGTAATCCCAGCTACCCAGGAGGCTGAGGCAGGAGAATCGCTGAGGCTGCAGTGAACTGAAATTGTGCCACTGCACTCCAGCCTGGGTGACAGAGCAAGACTCTGTCTCAAAAAAAAAAAAGCAAGATCATTCTTGAGTTTATAGATGTCAGTGAGGAATAATACCTTTCATGAAGGATTATATTACTGTTAAGTCATTACTGGTGGGCATTTTACACATGGAAGCTATCAGGTTCCTTGGTATGCAAAGCCCTGTGAGCCCAAGTCTGGAGTTGAGTATTGACTAGCGTAAAATAATCGTTGGGTATGAGAAATTAAATCTTCTAGGACTGTGTAACTTTCAGTAATGTCCTCCTGGTTGCTCTTTTGCCCTAATCTGAATTACCCTTTTATCATAGTATTAAATACCCTATTAGCTACCATCAGATATTCAGTTGAGCCTGGCTGAATAAAGTTCATAGAGAACAAACTTGTAAAACATTCTGGAGTGCAAGCTGGTCTTTCAAAATGACAATGTCATAGCAGAAAAAAAGATTAAAGTGTCATAACAAACAAATGTGATTTATGAACTGGGATTTATCATAGTTAAAAAATATGGTTAAATAAAAGCCATTTTGGAACCAATTGGAGAAATTTACACCTGGACTAAATATTAGATAATATTAGTGAATTATCAGGGCTAGGCACAGTGGCTCATGCCTATAATCCCAGCACTTTGGGAGGCCAAGGAAGACGGATCTGTTGAGGTCAGGAGTTCAAGACCATCCTGGTCAACATGGTGAAACCCCAACTCTACTAAAAATACATAAATTAGCTGGGTTCGGTGGCATGTGCCTGTAATCCCAGCTACTCGGGAGGCTGAGGCAGGAGAATTGCTTGAACCCAGGAAGCAGAGGTGCAGAGCTGAGATTGCGCCACTGCACTCTAGCCTGGGTGGCAGAACGAGACTCCATCTCAGGAAAAAAAAAAAAAAAATAGGGACTTCTCAACAAAATAAAAAGAAAACGTGTAAATTTTTAAAAATTGGAAACTTGAGGAACAAATGAAAAATAAATAGGGAATGCTCTCTTTTTTTTTTTTTTTTTTTTTTTTTGAGACAGTCTCACTTACTCTGTCACCCAGGCTGGAGTGCAGTGGTATGATCTTGGCTTACTGCCACCTCCACCTCTCGTATTCAAGCAATTCTCCTGCCTCAGTCTCCCAAGTAGCCGGGATTACAGGTGCACGCCACCACACCCGGCTAATTTTTGTTTTTAGTAGAGATGGGGTTTCACCATGTTGACCAGGCTGGTCTCGAACTCCTGGCCTCGAGTGATCCACCCTCATGGCCTCCCAAGTGCTGGGATTACAGGCGTGAGCCACTGCGCCCGGCTGGGAATTCTGTAATTAGTTTTTCTAGTTAGCTTTCCTAGCTGTGACAATAGTACTGTGTTTATGTAGGACAATGTTCTTAAGAGATGCATGTCAAAACAAGGGTGAAGCATCCTGCAGCCAGTGATGTGCCCAAACCAAGTCCTAACGACTCACAGGCTGTTATTAAATCTTCAAGAATTGTGTTACTCCACCACCCTTGGCAGCTTGAAATCAGCCATAATGGGAGTATTTATACCACAAAAATCTGCAAATGTGGACTTTTGTCCCCCAAGAGAACTAATTTACTAGCATATCACTACCTGCAGTTTACTTTCAAATGGATCAGAAACACACACACAGACACATACAGATAGAACAAAAATGACAAAATACTAATAATTGTTGTGATTGTTGAATCTAAGTAGAGAATCTATGGTCATTCATAGCACTAGTACTTGAGTCAGCAGACGTTTTCTGTAAAGGCCAAACTGTAAATATTTTTCACTTTGCGGGCCATACAGCCTCTTGGGCAACTATGCAACTCTGCAACTCTGCCTTTATAGCACAAAAGGAGCCATGGACAATGCTCATACAAATGGATGTGGTTATTCCCCAGCAAAACTTCATTTATGAGAACACAGGGTCAAATTCAGCCTAGAGCCATGGTTCAAGTTTTCTGTACTTTGAAAATAATTTATAATAAAATATTGAACAATTTTTTAAAGTACAAATTTCTTAGCCTAGGCTGGGAGTGGTGGCTCACGCCTGTAATCCCAGCACTTTGGGAGGCCGAGACGGGCAGATCACAAGGTCAGGAGATCGAGACCATCCTGGCTAACACGGTGAAACCCCGTCTCTACTAAAAATACAAAAAACTAGCTGGGCGAGGTGGTGGGCGCCTGTAGTCCCAGCTACTCGGGAGGCTGAGGCAGGAGAATGGCGTAAACCCAGGAGGCGGAGCTTGCAGTGAGCCGAGATCGCGCCACTGCACTCCAGCCTGGGTGATAGAGTGAGACTCCGTCTCAAAAAATAAAAAGAATTAGCCAGACATTTGAGGCATTTGCTAAGAAAGAGAAGATGGCAACGGAGCAGTGGAAAGTGAGCAGACCAAATAATTAATTCTGTGTGTCTTTTTCAGCTCTAAAGTGTAATCATTGTATTGGTCCTTTTTCATCATCAAAGAGGATTGAAAGTCATCTTCATTTGTCAGCAATTCATTCTTTTTTTTCTTTTTTGAGATGGAGTTTCACTCTTATTGCGCAGACTGGAGTGCAATGGCACAATCTTGGCTCACCACAACCTCCGCCTCCCGAGTTCAAACAATTCTTCTGTCGCAGCCTCCCGAGTAGCTGGAATTACAGGCGCCCGCCACCACACCTGGCTAATTTTATATTTTTAGTAGAGATGGGGTTTCACCATGTTGGCCAGGCTGGTCTCAAACTCCTGACCTCAGGTGATCTGCCCACCTCAGCCTCCCAAAGTGCTGGGATTACAGGTGTAAGCCACTGCACCCAGCCTTTTTATTTATTTATTTATGTTTTGAGACAAGGTCTTTCTCCATTGCTCAGGCTAGAGTGGTGCAGTGGTGTAGTGATGGCTCATTGCAGCCTTTACCTCCTGGGCTCAAGTGATCCTTCCACCATAGCCCTCTACATAACTGGGACTCCAGTTGTGCACCACCATGCTTGGCTAATTTTTTTATTTTTTATAGAGACGGGGTCTCACTATGTAACCCAAGCTGGTCTAGAACTCCTGGGCTCAAGCAGTCCTCCTGTCTCAACCTCCCAAGTGCTGGAATTACAGGCATGAGCCACTGTGCCCAGTGGACATTATTCTTTGCAAAGAGAGTTTTAGTTCATTCTTCCCAGCTAAACAAAAGCTTTGAGTTTTAAAAATGTAGCATTCAGGACAGGCACAGTGGCTCACGCCTGTAATCCTAGCATTCTGGAAGGCTGAGGCAAGTGGATTGCCTGAGGTCTGGAGACGGAGACCAGCTTGGCCAACATGGCAAAACCTCATCTCTACCAAAAATACAAAAATTAGCCAAGTGTGGTGGCAGGCGCCTGTAATCCCAGCTACTCAGGTGGCTGAGGCAGGAGAATTGCTTGAATCCGGGAGGCGGAGGTTGCGATGAGACAAGATCACGCCACTGCACTCCAGCCTGGGCAACAGAGCGAAACTTTGTCTCAAAACAAAACAAAACAAAAAAGACCAGGCACGGTGGCTCATGCCTGTAATCCCAGCTCTTTGGGAGGCAGAGGCAGGGGGATCACGAGGTCAAGAGATCTAGACCAGCCTGGCCAACATGGCGAAACCCCTTTTCTACCAAAAATACAAAAATACAAAAATTAGCTGGGCGTGGTGGCATGCACCTGTAGTCCCAGCTACTTAGGAGGCTGAGGCAGGATAGTCACTTGAACCCGGGAGACGAAGGTTGCTGTGAGCCGAGATCATGCCACTGCATTCCAGCCTGGCAACAGAGTGCAACTCCACCTCAAAAAAAAAAAAAAAGCATTCAGATCTAATACTATGTGTCTTTCTTGAATTTTCATATGGACTAGTGTGTCAACATATGGTGTTAAAAAAAGTTATTAACTAAGATAGTAGTGAAGCCTTCCTCACATAAGAATATCAGGCTGCTGGCCAGGTGCAGTGGCTCACGCCTGTAATCCCAGCACTTTGAGCAGCCTAGGCAGGCGGATCACTTGAGGTCAGGAGTTCGAGACCAGCCTGGCCAACATGGCAAAACCCTGTCTCTACTAAAGATACAAAAATTAGGCCGGGCGCGGTGGCTCACACCTGTAATCCCAGCACTTTGGGAGGCCGAGGCGGGCGGATCACAAGGTCAGGAGATCGAGACCATGGTGAAACCCCGTCTCTACTAAAAATAGAAAAAATTAGCCGGGCGCAGTGGCAGGCGCCTGTAGTCCCAGCTACTCGGGAGGCTGAGGCAGGAGAATGGCGTGAACCCGGGAGGCGGAGCTTGCAGTGAGCCGAGATTGCGCCACTGCACTCCAGCCTGGGCGACACAGCAAGACTCTGTCTCAAAAAAAAAAAAAAAAAAAGAAGATACAAAAATTAGCTAGGTGTGGTGGCGCATGCCTGTAGTCCCAGCTACTTGGGAGGCTAAGGCAGGAGAATTGCTTGAACCCGGGAGGTGGAGGTTGCAGTAAGCCAAGATCACACCACTGCACTCCATCCTGGGCAGACAGAGCGAGACTCCATCTCTTTAAAAAAAAGAAAAAAGGGAAGAATATCAGCCTGCTGAATTCAAAATGCCAGAGATGTAAATGCCCTCCGCCTTCTTACTGCCATCCCCCAGCATGGCACATTTCAAGATATTAAGGGATGGGAGTCAGGAGGAGGTGTAATTAGGCTGATTGGAACCTATTGTGCTGCTCTGGAGCACAGACACCAAGCAGCCTTAGGGAATGAGTGCCTGAAGATCATTGGGAAATTAGGTCCTCTTTCCAGAAAATAACGTAGCAGAAATACTCGATCTATACTATTTCTCCCTTTCTTTGTTTTCCATCCCCCCTCCCCAATTTAATTGTGGTGCTTACGGTGTACCTTTAAAACTGACTTTTATCGTGCATTTGTTTCTTAACAGTTGCGAGAAAGAATCAAAGCTGGCAAAGGTGTGACTTCAGCTATTGACCTGTGTCGTTACCATGGAAACAAGGCACTGGAGGCCCTGGAGAGCTTTCCTCCCTCGGAGGCCAGATCTGCTTTAGAAAACATTGTGTTTGCTGTGACCAGATTTTCATGACATCAAATTAAAAAGACACTATTGTTAGCTGAAAATCCTAGGGAATGAGGTGATGGGGAGAGCTTTCATGAAGCATTAATGACTTTTAAAACATATGCATTTTTCCTTCCTTTTATCACGTTGCTAAATGAGTTCTGCTTGCTTTTTGGAACTGCTACAAACAAAATTAGAAGAAAAAAAGGTCAAGCAGTTTTCACTTGTCACGCCAGAAGCACACTTGAGGCTGCAGTCGCAGAAATAATTAATGAGATTCGCTCCTGTGACCTCAGCAAATGGACAGGAAATAAGTCCTTATTGATTGGACCGAGCCAGGGATGGCGCCAGGGCGGTGGCCTGTGGTTTTCCTTCTAGAGAGGACAAAGCAAGCTGGAAGCTGCAGGTGTCAAGAGAAACGCTCTCAATACCAACCAGGGAGGACTGTCAAATCAAAAACTAGTGACCAATTTGTCATAATGGAGAGTAGTAGTTCAATGGATTAAGAAAAATATGTGTTATTTGTTTTCTTGCAATTATGTCTGTGGAATTTTTTTTTTTTTTTTAAGATGGAGTTTTGCTCTTGTTGCCCAGGCTGGAGTGAAATGGTGCAGTTTTGGCTCACTGCAGCCTCCGCTTCCTGGGTTCAAGCGATTCACCTGCCTCAGCCTCCCGAGTAGCTGGAATCACAGGCACCTGCCACCATGCCTGGCTAATTTTGTATTTTTAGTAGAGATGGGGTTTCACTGTGTTGGCCAGGCCGGTCTCGAACTGCTGACCTCAGGTGATCCGCCTGCCTTGGCCTCCCAAAGTGCTGGGATTACAGGTGTGAGCCACTGCACCTGGCCCCATGTCTCTGGATTTATAATGTAGTATGAATATACTTTGTGCTTTATGGTTTTTATAATGTCTTTTTGGAGAAATTGCTGAAAAGTTGCCAAATATTTGAAGTAGGAGATTAAAATGTTATCAAATGTTAAATTGGTTATATTAGGAATACTCTGTTTTTCTTTCTTGAAGATCAGTTTTTATTTTTTTCAAACACATTTCAAAGAACCAAAATTTTTTTTTTTTTTTTTTAAAGAAAAAGGAGCTTTTTTCAAGTGAAATGTATTCATTTGCAATACTTTGGTTTAAGGAATACTTTAATTTTTACGAGTTTCAGAAACAGAATTTTTGTACTAGAGAATTCATTGGTGAGAGTGTTCTTTTAACCTCAGAATGTCAAATTTTGGTCTTGAACCACAGACATCCAATTACAGAAAGAATATAAGCAATCTGACAGGCCTGCAATCGGACACTGTCTCTGTGTGGTTCATAGGAGATGATTTTTGAGGTTTGCACTCATGCAATTTGAGAACACCGTTGACAAGAAGGCTGAGTTTACATAAATGATCTAGATTGAAACTCAGCTACCTTTCTTCCTCATGTGGTGTAATTACAGCCCTATCTGGAGACAGCGAACACAGCAAACAGATTTTATTACCTAGTTCACTCAAACACTAAATGAAGTTATTTTAGTTAAAGCCCTCCCCCAAAAGTTACAAAATCATTTTATCAGGGCCCAACATGTGGCATGCAATGAAGAGAAAATGTAAAGCTACAGAGGTTAATGTATTGTATTATAAAATATTTTAAGTGTACTCGAAATATCGTAATTGTACAGTTTATGCCACTATAATTTAAGGCCTATAGATTTAGCTTAAGAGAACACTCTTCTGTTTGAAATGCCTTCTCTCACTGAAACTGGCTTAATTAGTAACCATGGATAAGATGCTTTAGATCAGACTAGGTTTTAATCATTAACTTCCACAAAGAAGAGTCATGCTTTGCGTTCGGTGTGCTGGTTGGATGTGCAGGAACTCCAGCAAATGGTGCATTTTGCTAAGCAGATGGTCGGGCACTGCAGGGCACCAGGCAGGATCCTAGGGTGACTCTCATTCTGCGTTAGCATCTGGTTTGCTGTATGACCTTGCACAAGTCACTTCCCTCTGAGCCTCAATTTTCTCATCTGTAAAATGAGATTCAAAAGTTGACCTGAAAGTCAACTGTGAAAAAAAAAAAAAGAGAGATTAAACAAGATAATCATGAAAGTCTTTCCAGGTTTGTTTTATTTTCTGAACGTTTACTATTCTTGACTGTCTAAATAGCAAAGATGCTGTGTGAGGTTCAGGGAGGAGGGAAGGTGAAACCCAAAGAGAGGCCTTGAAGGAATGCAGAGAGCTTAATGGCAAGCTTCCTGCCAAGCTGCCGCTGCATGACCTAAAGGATTACAACTCTCCTTGATGTGACATGTAACCCTGGACTTTTCTGTCTCAACACCTGCCTTGCTGCTTTCTTCGGGACCTTTCCTACCTCCCTGTCATCTTCCCAGCTGCTCTTGTGTCCTTTATCCCATCTCCTATACCTTGCCATCCTGACTCCCTGGCTCCTGGATCCCTGGTAGCAGTAACCCCCTGCTGCCTGTTGAGTGACAGAGCTCTGCCTCCCCCACAGGGGTGGCTGGCCTCCTTCCTCAGGCCCCACTTAGCAGAATTCTCACTTCCTCAGCATCCTGGCAGGCTTTCACAGAACCTAACAAGTTGGCTAGTTCACTCCAAAATACAAGACCGATAGCCTTTCTCCCTGCCCCTTCTTCAGGGATATTTATTTCTTAGCACATATGAAGTTCTTATAGTTTCAGACAATCCCTAAGGAGAAATTTGGGGCACTGAGACATTCCTCAATCACACCTCTCAGCCTGCTGCTGCCTGGGTGTGGCTAATGGAGGCAGTAAGTAGAATTAATGGCTCTAGAATGTCTCCTTGGCCCCCTCTCCAGCTTTCCCCATCCCCAGTTTCCTGCTAGAGGGAAGAATTCATTCATTAGCCATTGTCCTGCTTTCCTCTGCCTAGTACCCCCCACATTGCCAGTTGGCTCCTGCAAACCTCACTCATGACTCACTCCAGGCCCATGAGCTCACCTGCACTCTCCTCCTGTTCGTTTCTTCTTTGTTAAGTATACTTGGCCAGGCGCCATGACTCACGCCTGCGACCCCAGCACTTTGGGAGGTGGAGGCGGGCAGATCACTTGAGGTCAGGAGTTTGAGGCCAGCCTGACCAACACGGAGAAACCTCATCTCTACTAAAAATACAAAATTAGCTGGGCATGGTGGCGCACGCCTGTAATCCCAGCTACTCTGGAGGCTGAGGCAGGAGAATCTCTTGAACCCGGGAGGCAGAGGTTGTGGTGAGGCAAGATTGTGCCATTGCTCTCCAACCTGGGCAACAAGAGCACAACTCTATCTCAAAAAAAAAAAAAAAAAAAAAAAGTATACTAAAGGCTACATTAGTGCAGGCTTCCATGTCCCAGGCATTCTGCTAGAGGCCTTAAATATACTCACTTGTTTTAACCCTCATAAACACCTTAGGAAGTAGGTATTATCCCCCATTTACAGATGCAGAAGCTGGCAGAGAAAATTACCTCTGATTGACTGGTTTGTCCTCCCACCACACCTCCCACCTGAGGGTTTCCAAGTAGTGCCTCTTTCTTTCCTTCTTTCTTTCTTTTTTTTTTTTTTCCCCAAAGATTTCAAGTCTGTTGCCTCCTGTCTCCTTCATGTCTCTATTCTTGAATCTTCACTGTCTCTTCTGCTGGCTGCGAATGTGTTCAGTTTTCCTTGTACCTAAAATAAAACTTCTTACTTCACCCTGTTTATCCTTCCACCTCCATTTTTTCCCCCAGCTTTACCAGCACACCTTCTTACAGTCTACTAACTCCTTACCTCCTACAGTCGGTCATTCACTAGCAGGTCCCCATTATCTAGAACAGCACCACACTTTAGGTACTCAAAGAATACTTGCTGAACAAATGCATCAGGCCTCTTGCTGCACTGCTCTACTGATAAGGCTTCTCAAAAGTTCACAGCTGCCAGGTGTGGTGGCTCACGCCTGTAACCCCAGCACTTTGGGAAGCTGAGGCCGGCAGATCACCTGAGGTCAGGAGTTCGAGACCAACCTGACCAACATGGAGAAACCTCATCTCTACTAAAAATACAAAATTAGGCTGGGCGCGGTGGCTCAAGCCTGTAATCCCAGCACTTTGGGAGGCCGAGACGGGTGGATCACTAGGTCAGGAGATCGAGACCATCCTGGCTAACACGGTGAAACCCCGTCTCTACTAAAAAATACAAAAAACTAGCTGGGCGAGGTGGCGGGTGCCTGTAGTCCCAGCTACTCGGGAGGCTGGGGCAGGAGAATGGTGTAAACTCGGGAGGCAGAGCTTGCAGTGAGCTGAGATCCGGCCACTGCACCCCAGCCTGGGCGACAGAGCGAGACTCCGTCTCAAAAAATACAAAATTAGCCAGGCATGGTGGCTCATACCTGTAATCCCAGCTACTTGGGAGGCTGAGGCAGGAAAATGGCTGGAACCTGGGAGGTGGAGGTTGCAGTAAGCCGAGATCAGACCATTGCACTATGGCCTAGGCACCAAGAGCAAAACTCCATCTCAAAAACCAAAAAACAAAATTCACTGCTGGTGTCCTCACTGGAATTTGTGAGTAGCGCTAGCAGTGGCCCTGCACTCTCCCCTGTGCTTGCTGTAGCATTTCATGTTGCAGCCTGTCCCTGGGTGCCTGTGACCACCTCAGTTCAGAGTCTTCTTTTTTTTGTCTTTCTGAGACAGAGTCTTGCTCTGTCACCCAGGCTGGAGTGCAGTGGCACAATCTCGGCTTACTGCAACCTCCGTCTCCTGGGTTCAAGCAATTCTCCTACCTCAGCCTCCCAAGTAGCTGGGATTACAGGCACCCACCACCACGCCCAGCTAACTTTTTGCATTTTTAGTAGAGATGGAGTTCACCACATTGGCCAGGCTGGTCTCAAACTCCTCCCAGAGTGCTGGCATTACAGGTGTGAGCCACCATGCCCGGCCAGTTCAGAGTCTTCTTCTCTGACTACTCTTTCTTATTCCCACCCCTAGAGCCATACTTTTCTAAACATTTCAATTCTGTCTCCCCAGAAACAGTTTGACAAAGCAGTTTCCTGGCCCACTAAGTCCTCTTCTTTTAAATTCTCCAACTAAGAAAAATTGTTCTCTGACATAAGAACAATATCAAGCCAGATGTGGTGGCTCACACCTGTAATCCTAGCACTTTGGGAGGCCGAGGCAGGCGGATCACGAGGTCAGGAGTTCAAGACCAGCCTGGCCAATATGGTAAAACCCCGTCTCTACTACAAATATGAAAAATTAGCCAGGCACGGTGCCGTGGCAGGCTACTCGGGAGGCTGAGGCAGGAGACTTGCTGGAACCCAGGAGGCAGAGGTTGCAGTGAGCAGAGATCGTGCCACTGCACTCCAGCACTTTGGGAGGCCAAGACGGGTGGATCACAAGGTCAGGAGATCAAGACCATCCTGGCTAGAGTAGAGATGGTGAAACCCCGTCTCTACTAAAAATACAAAAAAAAAAAAAATTAGCCGGGCGTGGTGGCGGGCACCTGTAGTCCCAGCTACTTGGGAGGCTGAGGCAGGAGAATGGTGTGAACCTGGGAGGCGGAACTTACAGTGAGCTGAGATTGTGCCACTGCACTCCAGCCTGGGCAAAAGAGCAACACTCCGTCTCAAAAAAAACAAAAAAAAAAAGAACAATATCAATTATTCATTAGATAGTGAGCTGTTTACCATTCATCATTACTTTGAAGGAAGATACAGATTATGACTATCATTAAATGCATTAACCTTGTAAAGTTTTTTTTTTGGGGGGGGGTTTTGTTGTTTGTTTGTTTTTTGAGACAGAGTCTTGCTCTGTCGCCCAGGCTGGAGTGCAGTGGTGCAGTCTCGGCTCACTGCAAGCTCCTGCTCCCAGGTTCACACTATTTTCCAGCCTCAGCCTCCCGAGTAGCTGAGACTACAGGCACCCACCACCACGCCCGGCTAATTTTTTTGTATTTTTTAGTAGAGATGGGGTTTCACTGTGTTAGCCGGGATGGTCTCAATCTTCTGACCTCGTGATCTGCCTGCCTCGGCCTCCCAAAGCCACCATGCCCAGCCAACCTTGTATATTTTACTTGATAACACCAAATTCTCTTGGGTTCTCTTGCTTATATAATGTGGCTATCCAGTCACACCTAAAAATAAATGATCAGTGACAGTTTGCCTGGTCCAGGATTTCATTCTCCAGTGTCTGTAACTTTATCTTATCTATGACAATATTATTCTGTGGCCCAAGATGCGGGTGACACCTACAAACTTGGGCTAAAAGACGCATACGTTAATGCAAAATGTTCCAAAAAGATGTAGGACTTTTTTCTGGTCACATCGAACTCCAGTAACCAGAAAGTAACCTGAATAATCCTCAATGATCTCCTTTCAAAACTTGACAAATGGCTATACCAAAGGTGTTTTAAATAAGCAGGTTTTAGGCCACGCGTGATGGCTCACACCTATAATCCCAGCACTTTGGGAGACCAAGGCGGGCGGATCGCCTGAGGTCAGGAGTTTGAGATCCACTGGGCCAATGTGGTGAAACCCTGTCTCTACTAAAAGTACAAAAATTACCAGGCGTGGTGGCGTGTGCCTGTAGTCCCAGCTACTCGGGAGGCTGAGGCAGGAGAATTGCTTGAACCCAGGGGTGGAGGTTGCAGTGAGCTGAGATGACACCACTGCACTCCAGCCTGGGCGACAAAGTGAGACTCTGTCTCAAAAAAATAAATAAATAAAATGAATGAGCAGGCTTGGGAGCTTGTGGTTTTTGTTTTTTGAGTTTTCTTGTGGTATCTTTTTTTAATTTTGGTAAAATGTACATATAAATTTACCTTTTTTTTTTTTTTCCTGAAACAGAGTTCCACTCTTGTTGCCCAGGCTGGAGTGCAATAGTGCGATCTTGGCTCACTGCAACCTCCACCTCCTGGGTTCAAGCAATTCTTCTGCCTTAGCCTCCCCAGTAGCTGGGATTAGAGAAATGTGCCACCACGCCAGATTTACCATTTTTAAGTGTACAGTTTAGTGGGAATAAATACATTTATATTGTTTTCCACCTTTATCCTTCCTTTCCGCCCTAAGGGGAACTTGTGTTTAGTCAACAAAATTGCAGCCAAAGTGTATATATATATACACACACACAT